CGTAATCATAATATGGTACGTAAATTGAATAGATATTATGATATAACGTTATTTATGTATTGATAATATTATGGATTACTACTTGTGTAATAATTACTAGTTTATACCCTATAAAACTAGTAGTGCTTGCGATTTTAACTGAGAATCCTATAAAATAGTACATTGAAAAAAAAATCGCAGTTTCAGTGCCATTATTTTAAATGATATGTCACACAATACACGTATCTGTTTTGAAGTTAAATAAGTTAAGTACAATATAATTATATTATCTTAATAAGGTGATGTATAAGATTTTTTTTTTTATTATATTTTATATTTAGATTATATCATTACATTTATAGAAATAAAAATACAAACAAAATAACTACTCGTATATTTCGTATCAATATTAACTATCGTTCGTGTGAAGGCAACATCTGGTTGTGTTGTATACAAAGGTGTTTGACGTATCCTTAACCGAGGACATCTGTACGTGTCCTTTGAAGCACGATACGAGGGACAAGTTTTTAATTGGGGCTGGGATTCAACCTCAGGGCCCTTCGACCGCAGTCAAACGTTCTACCGACTGCGCTGTCATCGCAATATTGGCGTGATTAATAACTTCAATTGTAGGTGTGAAGAAATAGAAAACGATTCAATATCTAAAAATGCTTTTGAACGAAATGATTTTTATGTTTTCTTTTAAATATAGAATCAATAATCTTAAAAAGAACGTGGTACCAGATTAGACGTTCCTACTCTTTTAAAGGAATATATTTTTTACTTGTATACAAATAAGTTTTATTAATATACTAGCCTAAAATTAAAATATAAAAATATTTGCCTTATAATAGGTTAAAATGTACAGTTGGAGATAAGGATATTTTTTTTTTATTATCTATGCCCTATATATTATGGAACCACTTAATATTTAACTATAGGGAATGGTGTGCATAATAATACCTATCATAATAATATTATATATACCTATAATATACGAATATGTACTTGTAAATAATAAAAAATGTAATAAAAAGAAAATAGATCAATTAACTGGCAAATAGGTACAAACACCAAAATATCTTTTATAATTGTATTAAAATGAAAATTATTTTAAAACAAACTTTGTTAGATTTGCATTTAGATTTATTTCCTCATCATATAGGAATCGTTTAAAACAAGCACCAGAAGCTAAACTGTTTAACACACATGGTCGACTCTATTAACTCTCTCTATTGTTGGCTGCTAACTGGGCCACTAACCACTGGACGGCAAAGCTATATAGGACGGCGCACCGCCGCCGCTAAAACTCCTATCTCTCTAGCTAACGTTATTTTGCAATCAGAACAAACTGTATTGCTTTTAGTTTTAGTAAAAAATTGTTAGTTAAAAATCTATGCATGTAGAAACATTATGGAACATACATACAAAAGTATATTTCCTTCTTACTAAAAATAGGATATTGTCTATATGTATAATAGGAATTTAATAAACTTACTATGTTTGTCATTTAAATTTGATATTATATATAGTACTAGATTTTACCCGCGACTTTATCCTCATGACCGGGATATGTTTACTGACCATGATAAAATACTTTTTATGTTATTTTTTTTATAATTAATAGATATTATAGGTGTTATTGCAGTGTGGTCCCAGCATACAACAGGCCACTTCTCTTTTTCCCGTGGGTGTCCTAAGAGGCGACTAAAGGAGTCTTCCCTTAGGATGGGCAACAGCGTCCCTCTTAAAACATCTCCATAGTCTAACTGCAGTTGCTAATCCGCCTTCCAAGCATGGTAATTACTGGGAAAACCCCCCAAGAGCGAGGATTATGTTCAGCAATGGACAGTTAAAGATTGATATCATGATGATGATAGATATTCTTGTAAGTAGTAGACCTATATCCTCCATTACATATAATATGTATATATCAAATTTCATAGTGATTGGGTTAAGCCGTTAAGGTACTGTAAGGTAATAAACAAACTCACTTTCACATTTATAATATTTGTAAGAATCAAAGATGGAAAAAAACTTAGGCTCTCTTTTATCCCGGACAAGGAATATACCCTATTCACGTGCATAGTAAATAGGTAAGTTTCTGAATTTCACAGATCAGACTCACAAATGGTTATCGTTTCTATGAAATTAATATCACTAATTAAGCACACATATAATCATAATTGTGTGCTTATGCTCAGTTTGTGTTCGTGGGAGTCTATTTGCCAAACTCGCGTTATCGCCCACGACACGTGGTGGAAAGTGATCTTACTAAATTATCCACAAATTTGCTCATTATACAGAAGCTTACGTAAATAAGTATTTCTACTCGAAAATATTTTATATTTATGAGATACCGAGGCTTTATAAGATAATACGGGCTTCATTTATTAATACTTAAATACTTTTTGCTTTATCGCCATTTACTTTTATCCGTTGAAATTTTTTTGCATATTAAATAATCCCGAGTATTGTTGTCTAGCTGTTTCCAACCCCGAGTTTTAAGATTTGAATAGTTTAAATGAGTTTTATTTTAAAAACCTAATAAAGCTGACTAAATGACTATAGTATAAAAACTATAAAAGTATAAATATAAATAATTAGATTTTATTACTTTATTTTTATTAGCGATACGCTCCGGCTTCGCATGATAGGTAGAAAAAAATTAATATTTTGAGTTCTTTCAGTTAAAAAAAATAACTTACGATACACAATGAGAATGTAGTTTTGTATAGGTAAAAGAGTTTTAAAAATCCAATACAAATAAATAAACATACAAAAAATCAAATCTTTCTTCTTTATTATAGATTATAAGGATACTGAATAAGTTTGAAGCTGAACAAGTTTTCATGTCTCAATTTCTTTACAACATAGGCTTAAATAATTATTAAAATCAAAGAGACCGTAGGGATTTTTTTTTGTACTTAGATTGAATAGTCATTTCGTTGTTTCAAGAGTATGATATAAAATCTTCATTATTGATTTTTACATGTTTACATATTCAGGTATAGGTTGTACTTGTAACCCATGGCTTTGTCTATGTAAATTTCATAAAACCGGCTTGAATTACTCGTGTGTTAATTTGGAATATGATCTGTCAGTGTACTGATCTGCATTGGATTCAATTCCGTCTAGCATGATTTATTAATAAACATCCTCTGCACAATTTAATTATTATTTTTGCCATATTAATAGTTGGAAGTATATTAGTAGAATAAAAGTTTCTTTTAAATTATTAACTTTTTTTGTGATAAAATTAACAGGCACTCCAGCTAGTTACAACTTGCGAGTAGTTTTATTTATGTGTAATACTTATGAGAAGATTGTTTTTCTTCATTCGCAATTGATACGGTTCGTTAAATATGTTTCCTTGAAGAATTTATGTCTGAATTCAATATGAATGAATCCCAAGTGGCTGAGAAGACGTTACTTTATACTGAGTTTATATCGAATGAAGCTTCAGGATATAGGTCGCGTGCCAGAGATGCCTTTGTTCCATCTAGCTCCGTAAATATTCTACATTCTTGTTCTCCTTCATAACTCTGTATCGAATTTGAATACGGTACATAACAAAAAGGAGACATATCATCGTCTGTTAACTTTCGATTTCTAGGCTAGTTACTCTGTCTAACCTGGAATGGTTTGTTTATAACAGTTTATTGTATATAGGATACAGGTACGCACAGAAGTGTATTAATTAATTTAAAACGGGGAAATTATCTCTAATATTATTTTTTTAAGGACCACAAATATTATATAGAATGGCTCAAATTATATGGGATGAGGTATTTGTTAATATTCTATACTATTAATATCTACATGAAAAACACATGTAGAAAACAAAATAACTAAGTGGTTTCTATTTTTCCATGAAACCTTACAATAACAATTATAAGACCAAAGTAAACTAGTAGTTTCAAGTTTTACATTACAGCACCCATGTACAAGAATCCAAATGATCAAGTTATGTATCATTTACATCATTTAAATAATAAGATTCAAAATAAATAAGACTAATTGTGCAATTTTTAAATGATCTACTCATCCGGAATGTCAAAACGTTCAAAACTTGGAGTCGCGTATTTTGTCGTCTATAAAGTATTTTATTACAGCCACAGGTGTGACATGAAAAGCCACAATTGTGGGTGATCGTAAACAGGCTTTTATGCGGCGTATCCGAGAGACTCGAGAGGACTCGAACAATACTCAAATGTTGACTGATACTTTCTTGCAATCTGATTATCGATTTTCTGACCATTTTGTATTGTGCTATTAGGTGTTCGTTCTGTTATAACCCTAGCATGTAGACATATTATTACTGAATAGCAATATCATTTATCTCCATTTAAATCAGCAGTATTATGCCTATATAAACTCGTACAAACCCTAAATCAGCCAATCGTAATTTAGCTAGTTAAATTGCTGCCCAGCTACGGACCTGGTTTCTACCCGCCGATCTGGCCAGTAAAATTGTAAAAAGTGCTGTGTAAACTAAATAAGTTAATAATTGAATACTGTGTAAAATATTGAATAAATAACTTTTGTATGCGGCAAAAAAGTTGTTTTTTTTTTTTTATTGAGCAAGTGCCCCACACTAACAGTTCGTAAAATGATCCGCATAACAGATCTTTTTTTTCAGTCGGTTTATTGGAATTTGTGTTATTGGGGGACAAGCATACATATTACTACTTCAGGTCCAGATCATCACTAGTTCCCATTAGCAATTTGTATGCACTCCATAACTATGTAATGTAATTTTTCGGAACTCTAGGGTGAAATCAAAATTTAGTATCAGATATAAGGTTTAAAATATCGTTTTCTACAAATGAAACTAAATATATTTGCTTTAAATTCAAATACGATAAATAATTTTGAACCTCCCATAGGAATTTAATCACTAGACATGCCGTGTTATAATTTTTTATGTGATTATAATTGAATACATGTATTACTTTTTTGTACTTAGTTATAATTTATTTTGCTTATTATACATTTACTAAACTTAGAACCTTTTTCAGGTATCTGGAATGATCCAAACTAACAAACAGCACTACCGGCCACCAGATCGGATGTCCAGGTGAGTATCATTACTTATTTAATAAATAGTAACTATTTATAAATGTAGTGCAATAATGGGCATGTTGCTCTGTCTAAATTAGGTCCCTAGTACGGTTTTCGCTTAAGATAATTTTGAAAATGAACTTTGTTTAATTGGTTTGTGTCTGGTGTTTTCGATGATGTACGTTTTTCTTAATTTTAGGACTAAAAAGCATCAAGAAATGTAATTCCGATATTTCGTAATTTGAAATACTTTTATATACCTTTTAAGAAACTTTTCCATGGAGTATTTGAATCATAAGATTATAGGTATTATAATATATTCAGTAGTCTGAATTATAGAAATAGTATTATTTTAACCGCATTTGTATGGTGATTATTAATATTAAATTTATGTTTCATACTGTTCTAAACTTTACAATAGATTTTTTTGCAAAGTAGACACGCTAAATCATGAAAAATATCGATATAATGAAATACGAAATGATAACTCCGTGTGTGACAATTTAATGATATGTTTTATTTTTAAATATTGATTATATATTTTATTACTTCTTTTGATTTATTTTTGTATACCTTTTATATTATTAGTTTATATTTAATTTTGTTATATAATGGTTAATTTATATTTACTTATAAACATGATTAAGAAACGACTAAGCTAATTTAATGCTTTAGGTATGGGCAGCAGCATCCCTCTTAAAACATAACCCAATTTAACTGCGGTTGCCAACCCGCCCACAAAGCGTGGTAACTACAGGCAAAGCCTCCCAAGGGGGAGGCCTATGTTCAGCAGTAGACAGTTAACGACTGATGTAATGATAATGATGATAAGTAACTTCTGCATGAGCACAATAATAAGAAATTAATACAGTTGAGCTCTTTTATATTTACTCTTCAGATTTCAGAAATGTTTGTTTAGATAATAAATTTAATGTGAATTGTACATGAACTTAAGAGTTCTTTTTTCATGGATTTTGTATCCATGAAAATAATAGTTCGATAATATCCGATTAATTCTCTTTTCAATCGTGTATTGCTTGATAGAGTTGTCATGGTTTGCATGTCAACTTACGCTCTTAGGCGATTGAGGCCATGCAAGAGCATTCCACATTGTTGAGAGAGCATTCCGAATAATTACAATAGTTTACTTACAATACTTTATATATATTACACGTATGTTATGATATACATAAAATATAATTATGCGCTTTATCCAACGCAGTCACAATTCAACAATCACCACTAAGAGATGATGTAAATATCATTAAATACATTTTTTAATAGTTCAAATTTAAAATCTTACTCAGGGGTTAAATTTCGATTTATACATGAGTACGTAGGTATATTTTATTAAAAGATGGACTGGAACATTTTGACTACGTTCGTAAGCTGGGATTAAGGTCGACCATTGGCAATATGAATCCAACTGAATTACGAATAGGTATACGAATATCCGTATATTTTATAGATGTCGTCGGAACGTTAAATAACTTTTATTACCATAATATCCTTTTTAATGGAAATTACATTATATTACATATTTAAAAAAAAATTATATGCTACTCACCGCTCCATCTTCATTTATGGGCTATCTTGGCAGTATAATGGTTATTAAACCATTCCCACGATTCTTATTATATGTCCAGTGTATTAGCACTGCCTTGCCAATGATCACGGGTTCAAACCCTATACAATACAAAAAATTATTAATAGCATCCGTAGTACAAACTCTGGTTATTTTGGGTCTGGACCATAAGGAAGCTGTGTCATATATTTAAACATATTTATTTATTTATCTCTTTGTTCAATCTATCCAAATTAATACAGTAATTTAAAACTAAGAAACAAACTCTCTCACATTTATTATAAGCAATTGCGATTTCTGTCGCATAGAATTCAATTATAATTCATTATGATTTGATTGTGTGTTAAATTTAGACAAAATTAATTTAGTTTAACCAATACCATGTGACGTAACTCCCTCACATTTGCCAGATTTATAATTTTAGTATCCCGTCTAATGTATGTATACATCGTTATAAAGATTATATTTAAAAAAATATATTAGAAATTTCAATATCTCGGTCAGATTATTAAAAGTAGATCTTTATTAAAGTAAATACATAAATTACTAAACTAAAAGTTAATCCTGAGTAAACAACTTTAGATTTTCAATTATAAAACATTATTTTTTAAATAAATACTTTCATATTACATATATATATAAACGAAATATATATGTGTATACATATATATTTCGTTTAAAAATAGAATGTGGTAGATGTGATTTTCCTAATAAAAATATTTTATAGTAGACATTCGTTTAGTTATGGGAAAGTAAACAGTTTTGGTTACCTGTACATATTATATTAATTCATTTCAAAAATCACTGTCAGCCATCACATACAACTGAATACAGTGGTTCACATGCCTATCAGTCCTTATCATATCGTAACATCAAATAGTCTGCTGATACGCACCAGTAACCATGGCAACGTGTAGGCAAAAGGCTCCCCCTCTCCCTATCTTCCCGGTATATATTTTATGGTTATCATGGGGTTAAATGTAATAACTTGTCCTAATTTATTTTCAGGTAAATTGTATGTTGTATGTGATATACAATAAATTATTTATTTATTGAACATTAATACACTCAAATTATTACGACGGTATTACTTATCGAAGGCAGACTCGGCAATTAAGCGTTAGTTAAATGAGGAACTTCTCAATTCCACTAGTTGTTTATTTACTCATAAATTTTCACCAATTTTGCGCTGATTTTGATGATTCTTCTTACAATCAAAATGGCGTTTAGGTATACTAATGACGCTCCATTAAATTTCACGATTAAAAGTAAAATTTAAATTATATGAACATACAATCTAGTTTACGTAACTTACTTCCTTGGTTAAATATAATAATATGTTTTAGATTTAAAAATATAAGGTACGTCCTTATATTTGTCCATGTTATGTAAGAAGGTAATAAAAGTTATCGCAGTTATTATCCATATACCATATTTTTTAATTCTAATCTAAATTGTCTGTACAACATTAATTTGTCTTTGAATCGACCTAAATCTAGGAATGCAGCGCAATACTAGACATAGCAAAATGTGGAGACTAAGTAATGGTAATATCGCGTGTCTTTACGAATTATCACCCATATTTTTCATGGTATTACATACCAAAATGAAAGCTTACGACTAATATCGCTTGTAATCCACTTAAAACATCATATTTCCTCTATATATCATAAACATAATACACTTAGTTGCGACGGCGACATGCGAGCCTCATGAATGAAATTATTTTAAGCCAACATAGCATGTCTGTGGCTTAAATCCGTCCCTCTATGCTACGGTCAAGTCTATTGCAACCGGCTAATTCTGTACATCTATTGTTTGTTTTTATTTTGTAATGTTCTATGAAGCAAACAACTTTCAAATTCAATATTGGTTCGCTTCTAATGGTAACCTGTGATGAAATACGAATATATTATAAATTCTAGGTACTTTAGGGTACCGTTTATCATAGCTATTAAAAAGTGGATGACAAGAAATTTCACTTTTTATAATACACATAATTATAAAATTCTCTTTTATTATTTTAATACGCTTAAGAGAATTCTATAGTTATTATTATTCATTTATTATAATGATATTTAAGCGAATAACATGTGAGTGTATTGTGGTCATACTGGGAATTGTCAATAGGAAAAAGAAAAGTTCACAAGCCAACTAGGAGTTCTTATCCATATAAACCGCTATTACCGACAAAGACATGCTATTTATCCGCTATTATCTACCTCTCTTTGTCAAAGAATACAGATAATATCATGACTGTGATATAAAATAACATGTAAGGAAAACTGAATATAAGTGTTTATAAATAAATATATCCGTGGTTTTAATACAAATTTTGGCAGTAATAAGTACCACACAACAATCTTAACTGCCTGGTTTTATCAGAATAATAGCTTTTATTATGAAAAACCGGGCAATGGAACAGTGAACAAGCCACCTAGAACACCCAGAAACGAGTCAATTAAGAAGAAATTATGTTCTAAATTTTCTTAACTCAGAACATATTCAGAACCTACAAAAAATAACATTGTACTAAGAAAGTGGATTCGATTTGCATGTCGTAATCAGACGTATCAACAATTTTAGTTAGACTAATTTAAGTATTAGCAAGGATTCAATTGATTAGTCTGGAATCTAAATAAGCTACTGGGTTGCCCGACACTTACAGTATTTATGTTTTTCAGATAAATATCTCAAGATAACACGTCTGACAGTTTCCAAGAGAAATGTATTTAATGTTCTATTCTCTTACTATTTCAATGAGACGATTTCCTTCAAAGACGTGTCTCATAAATTTCAAACGCGACTCATTGTCTACCTATCAACGTAGATGTCGCAATTTAAATGCAGCATCCCTCTTCTACATTGGAATATTCTCAACTGGTCATCTATCAAGCTCTTTCGTAAATAGATTGCTGTGTAAATTGTTAAATTACCCCTTTTATCCAAAGTAGAAGTGTCGAAAACATTTGCACAATGATTTAATAGCTTGTTTTAATATAAATACTATTTTAAAGTAATTTGTTACTATGTATTAGTAAGTGAGAGAAACAGTAGTACGTAAACAAAATAGACGAAACTTACTGCATATAGATTTAATGATTTTGGTATTCCTGTAGTAATATTTTTTGAGTTATATGGTTAACAAGAAATTTTTACACATTTAGAATGTGATATTTATAATGAGAATATACACGTATTATATAAAATTCGGATCTAATCGTCCGAACTGATTAATATCAGTTACACCGCAAAAAGTACTTTAAATTTTTTTTATCACTAATAGTGACGGCTATAAAAAAATATTGTATAAGTTATCCTACATGCTGCAGACAGACTTTTGTAAATGCAAAAATCTCCTTTCATCTAATGAAATAACAATAATGATATACTATACAATTATATATTTCTCTGTTTGCCCATTGGTTGACTGGAAGAAAACACCTTTTGGTGAAATTCGCAATATATATATTGCGAACTCCACCATTTAAATTGATATTGTGCATTAAAATTTAAATAAATAAATATTGCACGATCATATATAAGATATTTTTTACAAAAAATATTTAATATCACGTAGTATTGCTTTTTATTTATACCAAACACAATTTATTTATATTGCAACAAATTACAATTTGGAGATTTGTGAAGATATTGCTTACTAGAGATCTACCAATTAGTACAGGAAAAAAATACATGGGAAAACTGGCTGACATAATTCGTGTATCATCCATCCATCTAATAATAAATAAGGATGGTCCTAAACCGTATTTAGTGAACGTAAAGATGCGGAAAGGGCTCGTGAACGCCACGACGTTAATGGATGGTGTGTTTTTTGCAGGTCGTGGGCGTGAAATGGCACGCGCGGGCATGCTGCACAGGGGTGGTGGAAAAAATGGAGCAGAGTGAGTATTTGGCCTTAACTAGTTTTTTTATTATTATTATTATTATTTATACCTTTATTGGGTATATCGGCCTTATCGTATCATAAACTGCTTTCTTAGGTAACTTCTACCTACCTTGCCTTCTTACGGAAATAGAGAAATGAAATCAATAATTTATAGAAATGTTAAATAATTTGTGATTCAGTTCAGCTAATATAGATTAAATAAGAATAATAGCGCAAATTACGAATTTCTTATTCAATCTATATAATTAATAGAGAAAATGGCGCAGTAAATATTTGCCCTTAATTAGTCATGTACCATTTACAGCCAACACTCACTAGTGCGTGCATTATTAATTAATTAACGTTGTGGTTTTATTTATCCATTTTTTAAGTAATTTTTTCACTCGAAACTTGTAGGTAGAAAACTCGTTTAAAAGTAAAGCTCGCCTTTTATATATAAGTTTTACCTAACCGCAAAAACTCAGGTTTTGAAATGAACTTTCTGCCAAGGTTTTCTCTAGAGTCTATCTTAACAAAATAAGTGTGGGAAAGTATAAGAATTGCCGAAAGTATATACTAACACGTAAAATATACATAAAATATAGTCAAATTGAGAACTTACTTTTGATTTTTTAATTCGCTTGAAAATTTTGTTTCTAAACAATATTAATATTATTCTTGGTTTAACTTTAATGAATTAATGATGAATTAAATTAAATCATTATATTTAATATATTATATGTAATAACCAGAAATATAGTCAACGTTGCAATTATACAAATAATTTACAATGGCACACTTACTATGGACTTAAAATTAATACGGTTGATTTAATTATAATAAAAGATTTTTTTGTAATTCCTTTGTTAATATACAAAATAAAATAACTTACTAAACTTATGTAGTTACTTATACTTAAACTTTAAACATTAAAATTCAAATTTGTCAAGACTCAATATCATAAAATATAGTTATTTTATAGGGTAATTGTCTTATGAGAAATCAACAAAACATCTAATGTTTTAGATGGAAAAATATGTGTAAGACATATCCACGAAAATTGTCAACCTACATTCGTCCGATATTCGCAGCTAGACATGATTTAGCACTTAACGTAATTGACATAGAACATATATAAATAAAAGGTTAAAGGTCTTATTTGGCATCTTCTGATATGATTTTCAGGCGCGCTTACAAATTAATTAATGGAAAAATAATACTGTACAGTATTTACTTCAGCTATAATATTAAAATTAGTATAATAAAATGTTATCAGAATGAACGTATAAGTATTAATTGTAATGCAATATAAGCTCAATTGCCCTATTACCAAGTAAGTTAGGGAGACGCGGTCGCAGGGCGGGCGCCAGGCGAGCGGGCGTCAGGTGCTGCCCTGATAGAGCAATTACTTATTTTAATATTTTTAATGCTCTACAGGTAGGCTCTTTCTCGCCCTATATAAAATTGTTATAATAATTTATACCTACTTTAAATTCACTTTAGGACTACTCTCTGTTTTTCTCTTAGACATATTTATTCTGTAAGTCAGTGTACTTTTATAGTGCCTTATTACATTTAAACAATATTTACCATTTTTTTTGCAATTTGTTTAAGTTAGCGTTAACAAACAAGCCGATAGCCCATCTTATAGAAAGTGGTAACTGTCGCTTATAGACATATATGAACAGTACCATACCAGTACCTTGACATGCCTTGTCATACCTGAGGACCAAGGTGTTATGCCTTTGTATTTGTAATTTTTATTGTCATATTTCGTCCTTTAAACCGAAACTTGCTTCATGGCAATAACACTAATCGTGTGTAAGAAGTATCCTTTATTGTCAATGGTTTTTTTATATCGCCCTCGAATACGTTCTTTCGTTTCTTATATATATATATATATATATATATATATATATATATATATATATATATATATATATATATATATATATACTTTTTATACTTATATTACTTTACTAAAACTATGTATTAATTTTAACTACCAACTAACTCTCTAATAACGGAAAATATCATTAACAAACTAAATTAATTTGTGGGAAATGGGGTATTTGCTACTGACCGGCCACCTTGAACTCAGTGAAATGTGGTTATAACTAGGAGGCAATAATGTTCATTACATGGGTAAAGGTCGACAATATTTTCAATTTGTATACATTGAACATTATAGAAAGTACTCAGGAGTAAGACTTTCAGTGTAACTACAATTCATAAAAGATTTTGATGTTAATATTCATGTTGAGAAACTTTGTTAAACCTATAATAATTATCTAATAACTAAAATACAAACAACAGACGTTTATGAGTCCTTCGTCGGGGCGACTACAGTACGAAATTGTATTTGAATTTCGTAATTGTGTTATGCAAACATCTTCCAACCCTAAAATACGGCCTAACTGAAATTCGTGACATTTTCATAGCTATTCTATATTAGTAACTATCTTAGAATAGGACCGCGCTCCGTTGAGTAACTTTACATCTAGTTACGCTGAAACTTTATTATTGTTATAAGTGCTCGTGCCGGCGGTGTCCAGCGACGCTGCCAGCCGACCCCCGACTCCCGACCGTTAACCCCCGGCTGTCCACGGCATTTCTCACCTCACCTCGCACTCAACCGCCTAGACCAACTTTAAATTGTTAAATGCAACTTCTCTTTCCACTCGGGTGAACTTTGTTTGTTCATTCCATACTACAAATTTTAATGAAATATATCTAGATTATAAATTCCATAAACGTCGAAATTATAATTGAAGTTTGACATTATTTTACTGCTTTTAATTAAACCATCGAAATTGTAAAGTACAATTAGAATTTTCAAGAATAATATACCTGCGGGCACTAGGGGAGCAGGAATTATATGGATACAAACAAGACTGGTGTTATTGCGACAGGCGCGGGCGGCTAGGGGCACCATCTCACGAGCACACAACTGCCGGAATGGTCCGTTGGGAGCACGATATTTGATTTCATCTCCGTCGGTGATCCGTCACGCACAAGGCCTTCTTAACACGCCTACACTTACAAAAATATGTAACTACACATATTAATATGTTACACACGAGTACCGTAGCAACTTTTATGTATATACTTGACGCTTAATTTAATATTTACAAGCCAGCCGTTTACTCTACATTTGGGTTTCATTACTAATATGTTCAAACAGTTGACATTGTTACGATGTATTTACGAGCTATCAAATACCTAATGTAGTACATATTTTAGGGCTAAAATATTTACAGTGCGGTGAAGAGTGTCACTCATAAATCAGTTTATGCTTTTATGCTGCAATAATATAACTTATAGCCCATAACTTTGATTGACCTCTTCGAATCGCGTCAGGCAACTCGATTGTAGGTCAATGTACATTTACATATATAACAATACCAAGTAGCAATGCCATGCATAACGAACAATTTTGTTCTTTTGACATTTACCGGTGAATGCAATGATAAAATAATTTTAAATTATTTACTGTTTTGACTATTTTTGCAATTTTTTTTATGGAACTTAGTATGGCAAAGAAATTGACAGTCCACCTGATGAAAAGTGGTAACCTGCACCCATGATACATACCTCCTATGCGTTGCTATTCCTGAGGACTAAGGTGTTATGCCTTTGTACCCTGTAAGTTGACTGCTATATCCCACCCTTCAAACACAGTCGTGCAAACACAACTGCTTCACGGTAGAAACACGAAAGGCACAGAGGTACCCAAGCTAATGAATTTTATACAAAGTCTCCCTGTGGTAATTTATTCTCTGTTAATAGAGAAGCGTGCTCGTATGTAGCACACCTGTGTATTAAAAAATACATTATAAGTTATTTATCAGATAGAAACAAAATAGACATACTTTCTAAATTTAGTCAATCGATTTTATAATAAGAATGCCCGTGCACTGTTTGATCACAATAAACAAAATTTAACTGTAACTATTCTAATAATAGTAATCCGTTGAGTCTTAAAGAAAAGCCGCATTATATATTACTTTAACTGGTCGTTTAGAAGTGGGTCAGTGTCCCGTAAAACTTTCCGCGAATGTGGTCCGCCAGCCCATAACCACAGTCGATCAAAGCCACCGCTGCTCACCACAAGGACCCTACACTATATGAGCACTCTCGCAAAATCATGCGTTTGTTTTTATTATCTAAATCATCGTGGCGTATTCACTCCGTGTACCTGTTATAACGAGAGACCTCGCTGAATCATTCAAAGCGCCGACTGACAGACAGGGTATGAAGTATAATTTTATTTGCTTTGGATTCATGCACTAAGCCGTCTGCTGCATAATTATTTTCAGTGTTTACCCCCATTAACATCCCACCGAGCTCAGTGCCGGCTCCGAGCGGAATCTGCAATAGCTTTTCTGTAATCCACCACAAAATATCGACAGTAACAAAGAGTGTATATTTTAACGTTTAATTGCTGACTTTAGATTCGGTTTCCACTTCATATAAATAAACATATTATTCTAAAACCACACGCACGGTTATATTATAGCAAATTCTGTTCTGGAAGCGTGAATTTTATAAAATGGATTACTAGTTTTCCTAACGAGTATATATTTAAATGTACCACTTCAAAGTCATTGTTGATATTGTAATATTATATATAATTTTTAATAAAATTAAATTATGCTTGATGATGAAATATAAGGAAAAATTAAGAACATACCTATATTTGAAAATGACTCTTAGTGAAGGATAATATTCTTTCTGAGGTTACTGAATGCTGCAACCTTGTAAATAAAAGATATTTTTTTTTATTATTATTAAGAAAAAAATCATGATTCATATTATAAAACAAGTCTATAAATGGATATAGAGTGAAAAAATGTGCGTGAAAAAATTTAATAAAATTAATTTTACCCTGCCCTTTATTACACCAATTAGTGTGAGAACATTGCGCGTAGTGCTTACTTAACCACGGAAAATGTAGTAAATATTTTCATAAATGTAGTCATATTTACCTACATACATATTAGAACAAAAAAAATT